CTCAGCCTTCCGAGTAGCGGGAATTACAGGCATGTGCTACCACGCCCGGCTGATTTTTTTGATTTGTTGTAGAGATGAGGTCTCGCTGCCCAGGCGGGTCTCGAATCCATGTGCTCAGACAGTTCACTCACCTCAGCCTCCCAAAGGTGTGGGATTACAGGCTGAGCCACCGAGCCCGGCTGGTATATATTTCAAGATCACAGATTGTAAGTGGGTCACTTAGTTAAATATGGTGACTACTAAGGCTATTTGATTTATTAATATAAGTATATATAAAAAATATAAAAAAGTAAATATAATTTACTTTTTTCCCAATAAGTGATCAAAATTTGTAATGTGAAATAAGTCAGTGACTCTTAACTAGGATCAGTCTGTGGAACTTTAAAAAATATTTTTGCTTGGACTCCATCCCAGGTTTACTAAATCAGAACCTTTGGGGATGGGGGCCAGAAATCTTTATTGTAGTAAAAGACTATGTTAAACTAGCACATATTATGCGGGATCACTATATTCCTGGTGTAACTCCATTTCTGATACAATAAGAAGATTGGAAGAAAATATTGTTACTGATGAAAGGGTCATATTTGAGGCACAAAACTGTTTCTGAAAGAGGGAATGATTTACTGTTATGTATAGAAGCTGTCTAGTCTGCAGTATCCGTGGTGTTTTATAGTCTTACACAATAGTGTTGTTAGGATAAAATGATTGTCTTGATTTTTCAAATTTTTTTCAGGTCTGCAAAAGATGATTTTACATCTATTATTGGGAAATGTCAAGGTAAATATTTTCAAATATTTTTAAAAAATGAAAATTTCAGATCTGTAATGGTTTATAATGCCTCTTAAAAGTTAGAATAGATATTAAATAAATATTTGTTAACAAGGATTATCTTGACTGTTTATTAAAATAATTTAAAAAAATCCATAAAGTCTTTAAATCAGTTAATGATTTTTCTTACTGCCTTAAATATTTTGTTTTAAGATGTGCATACTGGAGAGATTTGAAATGAAATTTTTTAATAAGTCTAAACCAGTTTTAGGATATAGTATTCATAAGTGTCCATAGTCTTTTGTTTTGGAGATATTTAGGTGTAAGCCACGAGTTGGTCAGATACAGACTAGTAAAAAAGTCTGGGATTTTGCTGGGCTCGGTGGCTTAGCCTGTAATCCCAGCACTTTGGGAGGCCTAGGCGAGTGGAATTCTTGAGCCCGCAGGTTCGAGACCAGCCTGGGCAAATTAGTGAGACCTTGTCTCTACAGTAAAAAAAAAAAAAAAATTAGCCAGGCATGGTAACATGCGCCTGTAGTTCCGGCTACTTGGAAGATTGAGGCGGAAGGATCCCCTGAGCCCAGCAGGTCGATGCTGGGGTGACCATGAGCGTGCCACTGTACTCTAGCCTGGGTAGTGGAGTAAGACTCCAACCCCCCCCAAAAAAAAAAAAAAGAAAAAAAGTCTGGGATTTGATCATTTGATATATTTGGCAAAATTTATGACTATGAACTGTTTTGCTGGGTACTTGGAGTATGATTGCAAGCAAAAGGCATAGTGTTTTACCTCATGAGGCATATAGACACTCAAATATATAAATACAAACTTTGACAAATCAAATGAAGGAAACATACAAAGCCTAGTAAGATTTTTTTATCTAGGGGTATGAGATGAGACTGCTGAGAAAAAAGTGACTTTCAGAAAGCATCCTTAAGAATGAGTAGAAGGTAGAAGGCAACAGGGGGAGTATTTCAGTGTGCAGGAGCAGCATATGAAAAGGCAGAGGAACCTTATAGGAAATAGGTAATATTAGGTAAATGCATCTATTACCTATGCTTTATTTACAGGACCTGCAGTTCCATCTGTCTGATCTTTTGTCAGTTCAACAGTGTAATAGTTGTAGGAATTATCACGATCGTAATCATGGTATTTTTGATGATGACAAACAATTATAGTGTTGTTACTGTGTGCTAGGCACTGTATTCAGTACTTTACATGCATATTCTTACTTTGTTGAAAGAAAGCAGTATACATATTTTATCTTAAAACACTATTAGGATAAGGTAAATATTTGACAGCAAAAGAGAGCAAGCAGAGGGAGACATCACTAATTGTGAAAATGACAAAATGTAGAAATACAGAGGATTCCCTCATTCCCTCATGGAAATGCTGGTTTTAAGTGCTTATCAAATACACCATAAGTAGCCTAGGGCCAATTTCCTTCTCATTTTTCTTTTCTTTTTTTTTTGAGTTGGAGTCTCACTCTGTCACCCAGAGTGTAGTGCCATGGCCGCTCCCGGCCACCGCAGCCTCAACCTGCTGGGCTCCAGTGATCCTTCCGCCTCAGCCTTCTGAGTAGCCGGAATTACAGGCGCACGTTACCACGCCCGGCTGATTTTTTGATTCATTGTAGAGATGAGGTCTCGCTGCCCAGGCGGGTCTCGAACCCGCGGGCTCAGGCAATCCACTCACCTCAGCCTCCCAAAGCGCGGAATTACAGGCTGAGCCACCAAGACCGGCTTTTCTCATTTTTCTTATTCTCAGCCATTTAAATGTGTTAAGAAGATCATAGGTCAAATATATTAAAAGGATATTTTGATTTCCCATATGAACTGGTGATATTCTATTTATTAATCTTATGCAGTTTCAAATATCCTAGAAGATAAGGTAGTAATAGAGCTCTTATGGAGTTCTCTTTATACATAGCATATTATAATATGTTATACATATTATAACACTGGCAAATGTAAAATTCTCTACATATTTGTATATACATGTTCCCTTTTTACAGTCTATTTCCTGAATGCTCAGTGGTACCATCATCTGTAGGTCACTCAAGCTAGAATTCTAGAAGTTGTTTTTCTTCCTCCCCTTCTTTCTTTGACAGATGTTTATTAAGTAGCCACTATGTTTCAGGCACTGTCCTAGGTGCATAGAACAGTGGGAACAAGGTATAGCTTATCCAGATTTAAGAGTTTACAGTCCATCAGGGGAGAGAGAGAGAATAAATAATTCATTGTAATTACACCAAGTGCCATGATAGAAAAGAGTCATCTTTAATTTAACTTTATCAAGTCCTGGGAGGGAGATTTTTGAGTCTGGGTCTCACTCTGTTGACCAGGCTGGAGTGCAATGGCACCATCACAGTGATCCTCGAACTCCTGGGGCTCAAGTGATTCCCCATGTCTTAGCCTCTGGAGTAACTGGGTCTACAGGCTTGCACCACCACACCCAGCTAATTTTTTTGTAGATACAAGGTCTTGCTGTGTGGCCCAGGCTTATCTGGAATTCCTGGCCTCCAGCAGTTTTCTACCTTGGGCTCCCAAAGTGCTAGGATTACAGGTGTGAGCCACCATTCCTGGCCCTGGGAGTCTGTTTAAATGGCTCTTGTTTCCTACGTATGCACTTCAATCATCACAACCCTCTTTTAGAGTTTTAACATTTTTACTTGTTTTTTTGCAACAGTCTGCTGACAATGTTTTCTTCTGTATTTCCTTCACTAATCCACACTATATACCCTGGCAAACTGATAATTTTCGGAAAAAAATTCTGTTACATTATTCTTCACATCTTGCTCCATAGCTTCCTAGATATGCATCCTTGGGCAAGCTACTTTACCTCTCTGAGCCTCAATTGCATTTTCTGTAATATAGGCATAATTTTTTAGACTGACTTATGGGAAAATTATATGAACTAACATGTAAAACTGTTAGCACAATGTCACAGTCTGAGTACTAGGAGATGTTAAATTATTGTTGTTATTTTTACTATTACTATGATTCTGCCTAAAATTTTTCAATTATTTTTTATTGACTATGGAATACAGTTCATGTTTTCTAATTTAGGATAAAAGACTTCACAATCAGCCTACCCTGTGAGAGTTCCATGCCATATGTCCTGTGTTTTAGGGTAAAGCAGTGTGCAGCTTTTCGGTGCTATTGTGCTCTTCATACCTTGGTACAGACAGTTCCTTTTACCTAGAAGCTCCTACCTTTATATTGAATTATCTTTATTTTTTTTTTAGTTCAAGCATCAGCTGTTCTTCCTGCCCTCTTCTTTACCATTTGGGCATCTTCTTGTTTTCCTACTACTTGTTTGTGCCAATAGCACACCACTTACTCTAGTCTACTTTCCTCTTTTAATTTTTGATTTGCTTGTCTGATTCTCAGTTAGACTGTAAACTCTTTGAAGGTGAGGCTCCTTTCTTACTCAACTTAAAAACACATTTTCTAGTGCCTAGCATGGTGCTTGATATACAGTAGGCACTGTTTTTGGTCCCATCATGTGTAATGGCACTTGGGAGCTATTCAGATGATTTTTGTGAATGAAAAATCATCTGAACAAAATACATTTGCCTATCCCCTCTTGGTTACTTTTAGAAATTCACAAGAATGTGTATTTATTTATTATATATAATATTATCTATATTATATGTAGCACTCTATACATTTGTGGATAATTGCCGTGATATTTATAGTTTTTATTCCTTATGTACCCACATGTGTATACATAGCATGAATGGTACTATAAGGGCAGACATGATGCCCTGTTTGTGTAATATTCTTCTGAGAATAATAGAAAGGGAGATATTGGCTTGGGGCTCTAGCATTTTTTGAATTTGCCTCCTTATTAGAGTAGACTAAACCTGGCTTAAATAATGTATAAGGGTCAGGAAGTTTCCAGAAGAATGATTTTGGATATTCAATTGCCTTTTTCCCAGTGCAACACTTTCATTTTTATTTTTCCTTATAGAAATCTGTTTAATGGTTTAGGAATGTGTATACTCTGGCTCTGCACAGTTTCCATAAGGGCAACTTTTTGATGTCTTAAAAAATAGATTTGATATAAAGACTTATATATTAATAAAGAGGTATTGTGAAAAATTATCAAATGCAAATGGCATCCTTGGGCTGGCTGAGGCCCTCCCCACCGAACCCCAGAGTCCAGGCCCTGCAGGAGTGAGGGTCCCTGTTGGAGGAGGCCCTGACTCCAGTAGCCCTCCTGGAAGAAACTGAATTCAATATGAATCAGCAGCTTCTCCAGGACACTCTCATTGGTGAGGGCTAAGGGAGCTAATGAGGCTTCTGAGGAACAAGCTTAGAGTGTTGGAGTGATGCTTACATTCAGGGTTCTTTTGAGCTTTGGCATTAGATACCTGCTCTTAACCAATAAGTAAACCTAGAAATCTACAAATTAACATGAAAACGGGAAGCTTTACCCTTTTTTATTTCATACAGATTATAATATTTGTCAGACTTTTTAGTGTGTACAGTTAATGTGGCAGTGAGGATGAGATAATACTTTGAGAACTAATGTTCTATTTTGTTGGCTTCTGAATGTGTGAATTTATGACCATAATGCTGTATTAATGGCTTCTTTCCATTTCATATAATGTGAGGTAATGATCATTTGCTTATTATCTGACTCATCTTTATGGGAAAAACTCCCATATGCCAAATGATATTTCATGTGTGTGCCTGGAGTAAAGGATCCAGATTGTTGTTAATGCATCTTTGAAACTACGTATTGCAGAGCCTGCAAACTGAAATAGGAGCTACTTGTTTCTACTTTGATATTTTTCAATTATTGTTTTATAAAAGATAGGCCATTTGAGAATGTTTTAAATGTGGATTGTAACTTGTTTTGGCTCTGTTTGTCAGGCCATAAATAGTAATTCAGAGCCGGGCTTGGTGGCTCGGCCTGTAATCCCACGCCTTTAGGAGGCTGAGGTGAGTGGATTGCCCGAGCCCGCGTGTTCGAGACCCGCCTGGGCAACTTGGCGAGACCTC